ATATGCAGCATCTTCATTGCCATTTGTATCCCTTCCTCTTTAAGGTGCATTGCTTTGTTCTTTGGAGCCCAGGATGCCCTGAAATCCTCCATGGAGGGCAGCACAGGGCAGTGATGTGAGCTCTGCCCTAAGGTCTGAGGCTGCTTTCATGACTCTATGGGCATTTGCTTCTCGTTTCATGGAACAGAGCTTTCTAAGAAGTGCGCAGGAATCCAAACCCAGAAGCTTTCCTGAAGTCTGCAGAAAGCCTCAAACCAATGGACTGGCATTAAAAAAAAAAGCATGGATGTTGCCTTCATTCACCCAATTCTCAAGGCCTGCATGTTTTGAATTTGAACGCTGAATAACCCAAACAAACCACTGGTGGCTGCAACCTGGCTTCCCAACCCCATTATAAATTCCACAAGTTCTTCATTTGGCAGCAAATAAACCTTTTTATTCAATCAGGTGATGTGTTTGTTTTGGGCTTGGCATCCATTTTGAACGCGTAACACACAAAGCAGAGGTACCAAAGTTACACATCTCTTGGTTTATCTACCCATGGACATCAATAGGAGCACCCACATGCCTCCACGGAGCCCAGGTTTGCTCCTGGAATCATTGCTCACCTCCAAAATCTGTGCATAAGGTAACAGCATCGTTTATAAGCCCATATAAAAGCAACACCATGCAGCTGCTCAGTCTGTACAACTATGAAATGAGAGATCTGGATGCTAGAAGCACTTTCTTCATAGACTAGCTTGCCCATATAATGCACATAGAGAGGAAAACTGCACTCTTGGAGCTGCAGGAAGCAAAGCTCAGTGCTAACAAAGGGAGCTGTCAGAAGTGTTGATGTTAAAGCTTTTCTTTTTTAACTTAAAGAACATGTGCCTTTGTGTATATTCTATTTTCCATTAATTAACTCTGTCCCACACACCACCCAAACACATCCTGGACTTCAGAAGGCATTCTAACCCACGTTTTGTGTTTTCTTTTTGTCTCTCCATGTTATGACATCTCGAGGATTGGAGCTGGCACTCGTGTTTATAAAGCAGGGGGATTCCACGCATGGCGACAGGATGGATATTTTAACAATATGGTACAAATATTGTCAATTTGCTATTTTTTCCCTTGCCTTTTCCAACACATCATCAATCTAGAGCGGGTTTCTGTGCATGAACCCTGCTTACCACTGAGCCGGAGCCTCTTGGCATGGATGCAAAGAGGCTTTTTTATAAATAAAACTTAAGAAAATCACCATGCACTCCATTAATTCAGGAACACTCCGCCTCAGCTTCAAAGGGGATCTTTACTGTAAAGATGGTGTTTTTGCTGCTTTAATGATTTGCTACTTGTACTTGTCATAACTACATGAACCAAGTATGCAATAGCAGGGAGCAGCGGTTCCGCCTCCCCTCCAGTTTGATTCAATAGATTTGTGGTTGCATAGAGGAAAACTACTTCATAAATCTGATACTTAAGGCCGTTGTACAATGCCAGTTAATGAAAGGAAGCTGCCTGCGTGCCTCAGCTATGCGGATCTCATGCACTGCTATGGCATCCAGCACCTTTAACAGCTAGCCACCACAAAGCACTGAGCCAAAGCAAGCAAAGCCAGAGGTAAAATAATACATGCTCCATCTAAATACTGTATACCAGAAGAGAAGGGGCCTAAGGCTTTCCATAGTTCCTTAAGCCTTTGCAAAACATGAAGGCTCCTGATTTTTAAGGTGTGTTTTATCCCAGCACATCTCTCACCCCCACGCTCCATGCCGTACATTTCTATGGATTCCTCCCTCAGGGAGGAGAGGCTTTGAAGCTGAAGGTCTCAGAGGTGGGAGAATCAGGAGAGCTGGACCCAATTCCTGGATGTCGATACTCTAATGCCTTGGGAACACGTTTGGAGCCTTAGCTTTCTTCAGCTTAAGAAATGGGAGCAACAATACCTGTTCTCTCTGTTTTGAACATTTGTGAATACTTCAGTGATCATTTACATTCAGAAATGACCCCTGCAGAAGCTCAGATGTTTTAAAACCACTTGGAATGAATGCATTTTTGATTGAAAAAGCGACAGTGTTACCATAAACGCAATGGAAACAACTTCTTTTTCAGTCCTGGGGAGGCAGAGCCACATTTCCTCCATCTCCAGCAGCCTGAGCCTTCATACAGAGCATCAGAGGAGCTTTTGCTCCTAAAGATCTTCAAATGCTGCACAGACACCCATGATTTCAACTAATTCACCTGTACCAGTGGCTATATTATATTCTGCCTTTGTGCTCATCAAACAGTGGATACTTTCAGTTTTAGTAACAGAGCAGCTGAAGCACAACAGCAGCAATGCAGTGCCGAGCTCCATTCCAACAAATCCAAACTTCAGCCCCACTGCAGAGCTCTCTTATTTAGACACAAACCCACTTCCCCTTTCCCAACCCTTCTCTCTGCAGTGCTCCCCACCTCTCCCCAATGAACCATCTCCTCTTGCCTGCAGTTTCCCCCTCCCTCCGTGAATCCCAATGCATTGCAGTACCCCAGAATGGCCTGGTGCTGCTCCCTCACACCGCTCCTTTCCTGCTCAAAGCTGATGCAGAACATTTCCCCTGCACTCAATTCTGAGTTGAGAAGCACAGAAAGCAACCTGAGTGAGGTGTAGAGCAGATCCAGGCCCCAGGTGGGATTTTCTTGGCCAACTTCCCTTGGTTCTCATTCCACAAAGAGAAGGTTGCTGCAAGACAGCAGGGCTGTGCATGCACAAAATACATAAGGGGCACAAAATGCTTCACAAACACAGTCAACCCTCCTCCAAAAGGAAACGAGTCACTCTTGTGCTCTGTTCAAAAAGCACCAAAGGAACCAGGCACCAATATCCTGCACTTCCACACTGCAGCCCACAGCATCCCTGGGTGCGTTGCACTCTGTTCAGCTCTATCCTTCTGAAACTGGGCTGCTCTACCCAACCCATCCTCAACACTGCTGCTTTTTCTGCTTGCTGAGAGATATCAGGTGTGATTCTATTAATTTTGGCCAATACCAGAACCCAGCAGTTGGGAAAGCTGCAACCATTGAGGTTTTGGTCTCAAGATAAGCATCTAGTAAGAGCATCCCAAACCGTGTAAGCATCAGTCCTTCCTTTGTTCCCCCTCCTCCCCCCAGTCAACCTGTTATTTAATTTGCAGCTAGGCAGAAAACTCATGCAGTCCTCTTACCCATACATCCCACATGAGATCTTTGTCATCTGTGTGGCCTTTTAAAAGAAGGCAGAACCCCACACTCATTCTCCAGTTCTTTCCCACCCAGCACACACCAAGTCCCATCACCACCTCTCCTTCTCCCACAGCATCATTCCCTGGAGCCAAGCTTATGTCCCAGCCCACGTTTTGCTGAATTTTTAGTTCATTTCCTCAGGATAGCCTTGGATCTCCAAAATGGCAGTGAGATGAGTTCAGTTTGCTACACACCTCAAGACCCAACTGCTCATGCAGTAACTCCATGCAGCTCTCCATGAGCTGCACGCTTCATTTATAAACCAACTCTGCACTTGTACCAACCAATCTATCTAACATTTAGATTTCCATCCCCATAAAAGAACGTGATATTTCAAACAGAACAAAAGCACATCCCTCCTCCACCCTCTGAATTGTATGAACTTTCAAAATGGAAAGAAAAAAAAAAAACACAACTAATTTTGAGCCCTTTTATGTCTTCTAATCCTTTCTCACTTTTTTTTTTTAATTTTGAGCACAGCTGTCTGTTGTACTTTCTCAAATGATGCCAGATGCTGGGTTCATCAACCGAACGCACGAAAACAATGGTTTGAAAGCAATTAGAAGCACCGAGGCTGCACTGAGGCTCATATTAAAATGTGATAACACTGTTCTAAGGGGAATTGCAGCGCTGCTGCATTTCTGACATTTCTGTGCTGCCAGACAGGCAGGATGTGCTGGAAGTGGGCCCTGATCAAGGAGGTAACGTAGTGGAATTTATTCCTGGAGTAAATGAAGGATTAGCCGATTCAGAATGCTCACGGGGGTTTTTTTAATTACAGCCCCAGCTCCCACCTCATTTGAGCACTGGCAGATCCTTGTTTGTGCTCACCTACTGCAGTCATTGCTTGCAGTAAGCCCCCAAAACCACACGCCTGGTTGTACCCTACTGTCCCAAATCGGACATCAGAGCTCAGCTACAAGGATCCCATCTGAAGTCAAAGGAGCTCCAGGTCAGCCCTGAGGAAATGCAAACCCATCAGCTGCCCTGGATGTGCAGAAGTCCTGGCTGACACTGCTGGCCACTTGCAGGCACCCTGCAAAGCCTAAATCGCCACCCACATTACTGCAGAAATGGAGATCAAAGTGGTGAGCAGGTTCTCCCAGCTCGTTAACAGACATAACGAGGGAGGGATGGTCGTGGTCCTGAGGAATTTACAGCCTGGCTGTTTGCCTGCACCTGGAGGTTGACTCACCATCAAGTTCAGGTTAACAGAGGTGCAATAAGATTGGAAGCTGCAGGCTGAAGGATACCCTAAAGTGTTTGCCTCCAAGTCAGTGGCCACAGGAATATGCTGTCCTTCCTGAACCTCAAGTCCCTTCTGGAGACAGGAGTTGAGCAGGAACATTTCCTGGGCTTGTCCAAGATATTTAATGTCAGCCCCATGTATTTCTGTATTATTCCATAGAATATTTGTACCATCCCATAGAGTGGTTTGGTTGGAAGCGACCACAACCCCACACCACAGCCAACCTTCCACTGGATCCATCACTCAAAGCTCTATCCATTTACTGACTCTTGAGAAGAAAAACTGACTTCTACCCAAGATAAAACACCAACTCTGGCTCCTGCCATAGCCCTTATCACAGCCTTGCACCTCTCCATCCCTAAGAGCTGCCCCTCACACAGCTCCACGTTCATTTTAAGCTCTTCTCCTTATCAACTCTGCAAAGAAACCAGCACACAACCAGCCCTCCCCTGCTCCCCAACCCCCTAACATTGAGAATCCCCCCTCCTTCCCACCAGTTTGTACTCACCTCGGGGCAGAAACTCCAAGTGGTACCTACAAGACAAAAATACATAAATACATGAAAGAGGCAAGCATGAGCAGATATGATTTTTTTGCAATGACTTCTTTTTTCCAGCCTGATGAAAAAGTGACAGATGGGAGAATAATACCAGACACACTGCCAGGAATCCAGTTGATGGTCTCAATGTATTTTGTGCAAGAAATATGTAGGGGAAACAAGTCCTACTGATGCTAGCTGGCCCCAGGACACCCTCTGCTACCTAAGGAACCAATTTTGCTAACCAGATCCCCTCCTTTGCAAGAGCTTCAAAGGTTCTCAACTTCCTCCTCCTATTGCAGCTCTCTTTCTCAAAGCAATCAGGTTTTATGTGGCCATTCCCTTCACAGTCTCGAGTGCAAAGAGCTGCTTGCAGGGATGCAATCTGTCCTGCAGCTCTTCTGAGAGCAGGTCACATCAGGAACTCGACAACACACTTGAACACACTGAGATGCCCTGATCAGCCTTTGCATCTCCAAATCTTCCAGTTTCTTTCTTACTTTCCTCCCCCTCCTCCCATCCCAGCTCTCTGCTCTTTGGCCATCTCCATCTAGCAGAGGTACCATCCTCTGGATGATCCAAAACTGCAAAAGCCTCCTTGCAGAGCCACTAACATGAAACCTCATGGGATGCATATCACCAATCCATGCTTTCTAATTCTCCTGCAAGAGTATCTAAAAGCCTAGAATGGTGTGCAGCAGCATCTCTTGCCCAGCAAGGAGCTCAGCACACAGCATTTCTAGTTTCAGGAGGCTGGACACACACATCCCCCATAGGGATGGCCACAGTGGAAAGAAATTCACCATGATTCCTCTCTCATAACACTTTTGAGAATGCCTTTGGCTGTAGCATGAACCATTTTAATATGGAAACAGCATAGACACAGTTTGGAAACAGATCAAGGAGTTGGGAGAAGCCACAAAGTGACCCATTCACAGGCAAAATGCATAACAAAGGCTTGGTCTATAGGCATCAGTGGCAAGAATCCAGTCTGTAAAAATCCAATCAATTTGTTTACTCATTAAAAGCTTTCATGAAGAAAATGATTTAATACAAACATTCAAGCTACTGACACAGATTAATTAGAAAACAACAACAGAATTCTGATTAAGGGCATAATATTTATTTGTCTCGTTTTCTTTGGACAAAAAGGAAAAGAAAACACGTGCAGCCAAGGGATTTTTCTGGGAGAATGGGCTCCTATGGTGATAAATAACAGCTAAATACATTGGAAGGAGCCACACCAGTGGCCAGAAAGGGCTGCAGATATATCCCTCGATCCTTGGGTGCTCTTGGCAGCAGTCCCCTATTAACACCAACTCTTTCCTATGCACCCTATGGCAGCTGTACCTACCTCTTTCCATTCCAGAACGTGCCTGAGGTCAGAGAAACAAGTCAGAGCAGCTCCATGCCTGTATTTCCCTGCTCTACAACATGCAGAGCCCTGAAGTCCTCATCCTTCCTCCGCACCCCAACCCCATCCATCCCCAAACCCAGCAGCCACCAATGCTGGAATACTCTCATCTCCTGAGCAGACACTGATCCCAAGACAAGGACAGAGAAATCACTTCTTGTTTGGTGAACTTTTGTCTCCTGTGCTTGAGAGACTGTCCTAATCTCCCCTGAACATGTTTTAGTGATAACATTTACTGCACTAGGACCAAAATGATTTTCTGTCACTTCTCATTCCAGTTCAATAAAAGTATAAGAGCTTTGTTTCTAACCTCTGTCATTTCTAATACAGTAAAATGGTTTAAAAAAATGTAAAATTGAGTTCCATTTCCTACCGGACCAGCAAGCCCACGTTAGTTTCACTCTGATCAAATCAAAGGGGGGACAAAAAATACCAAAAAGATGCATTGCTTTTGGTTATTTATTTTACCGAGGCATAAGGAAACAGTCAAAATTCTTATCTCATCAGATCAGGATGAGTCTTTCATCTCCTGCTTTGATCATTTTCACTCTGGAAGGGCTTAAGCAGAGAATGAAAGAGTTCTAAGATTCAACTGGGAGTGGGAGAAGATGTTCTTGTGGAAGATGAAAGCGAGGATTGAATTCCTTCACCTGCCACACCAAGACTTGCAGCCTGCATGGCACCCTCTGAAGATGGCACAGCATTTCCAGTTTGTTCACTGAAGTTGCTTAAATACAAACATTCTTTTCCCCAAAATCCTTTGTGTATATTTAAGGTTGCATTGGGGTTTAGGATGAGCTTTGGTGTGTGTTCTTCCCACTCCCTTTCTCCCAGGTAGCAACGAATCCATCCAACAGCTACAAGAGGAATCCCCTCAGAAGGGCAGCACTCAAAGCATAGGAAATAGCACAGAAAATACAAAGATCTGGGCTACCTCAGACCTTGAAGTAGAGAGGGAAGGAACACCTCCTGCCATATGATTAACTACCTTCAGCAAAACCAACTCAAAGGAATCCATGGAGAATTCTGATGCGATGTGTAGAGCAGGGAGCCAGCCCAAAGATATCCAATTTCCATCACAAAGCCAAAAGAACTAGCGCTGTGCTGCCAGGACTTTAACAAAAGCCATCCTATAAGCATTTCCCCCACATAGTTTGCAGCAAACCACCCACCTCTCTCACCTCATCGGAGCATATTTTGGGGCCAGACAGGAAGAAGCCACAGATTGGTTCCATTGGAAACACGAAACGCTCCTCGTGATCGTACAGCCTTTGAGGTTACATGCTCACCAAGCAAACATGAGCAAGTGTCACCTGTCTGGAAGGGTTTATGTGCTTTGCTCCTGAAAAACGTGCAAATCCCAGCCCCAGTTCATCAGTCTCAGAGCAGCTGCCTCCAAAGGGCCCCAATCGAACTTGCAACTCAACTGTATGAACAGATCTCAAAGGGTCACGAGGAAAAGAAAGTGGTTTTGTCACATTACAGAGGGAAATTGAGTCACAGCCTTCGCCAGAATGCTTCCTTCCCAATGAGAACCCACTGTGATTTCTGCCTCCAGCCAGAGCTAACATTCCCCAGCTCTGGGGCCAAAAGGAGCAGCACCTTCTGCTGCCTCCCACAGAATGGGGTTAAGGCTTCACCTTCAGGAGAACAGCATGTGCTGTGCTGAGCTCTTGCACTCAGAAGCCATTGCCTGGAAACAGCAATGCTGCTGGGACCGACTGAGCTGGGACTGCTCCCTGCAGGAGCCAAAATCCAGCCAGGAAAGTCACCAATTCCATCAGTGGCACAGAAATGCAATTAAGACACAAAACGACACCCAACCTTCATCCCACAGGGTGAGCTGGCCAGCCAACGTGCACCTCTTTGCCACATCCCAGCGCTGATGGATTCAAAGCAGATCCATTTGAGGCTGGAAGCAAAATGGCTTTCTGAGATCTTACGGTCTGTATTACGCCAGGGGTCAAACTTGATGGATATAATGGTCTCTTTGCAGCTTTAGCATCTATGCAGCCTAAACCCCACTTTCCTCTCAGACTCCATTTCAGCAGGAACCATGCAATGAAGTCAGGTTTCAATCAAATTTCCGGCATTTTCTCGTCCAATTAAGGACACTAATATCACCACAGCTGTTATATTAGATATACCAAGACAGCCTAATTTGTTTGGTGCACAATACTCGCTGCTTTTTAAATGTTTGCAAGAAAAAAAAAAAAAAAGAAAAAAAAATCAATGCTATACGAGATTTCAAGCACAGGAAAAAGAGAAAGGAAGGTTGAGGAGCTCACCATTAGCAGAGCCTCCTACAAACCAGTTCAAATGCATTTCCTAGCTAAATGCTACAGAAGCAGCAGCAGATAGGCAGAGACTCTGGTTACACAATTTCAATCATTTACAGTCCTCAGGTTTCAGATTAACAACGCATTCACCAGGAAATGGATGGTGAAATAAGGGGTAATTTTATCAGCTGGAATGGAAATGATGGGAATTACTGAAAGGAGCCAAAGCCAAACGGCACCAAACTGCATTACTGGCAGAGTGAGGGGCTGCATCCAGCCCAGGTATAAAAGCAGGTAGAATGTGATAACAGCTGAATTGAATTTGTTCCCCTGAATGCAAAGAATTCCTTCCTCATCTCTCTCCAAAGGAAGGAGGGGGGAAAAAAAAAAATCCCCTACTGAGATTACAGAATAAATTCAGACCATCTTAACTAAAACTCTGCCAGGCCTTAATAAGAAGTTAGTATTCCGTTGGAGTGTTGGTAACAGGAGGAATGCCTCTCTGCTCAGCCCCAGTGTTAATGTGCTGAGCTCAATTATCCGCCCATAAGGTCACATCCTTAAGTTCTTTTCATCTTGGTATTGCACATAATTCAGCATAATGAGCTACAGACAGTGAATGTACGCTAATGAAGCAACAATTACCCCCAAATCATGTTTTCTTTAATTTAAACCTCCAAATTTCTAGAAGAGAGTCGAAATTGAAGCAGTAGATGGCAGTTAATACACCCAAGATTACTACAACAAGCCAAGTTTTGGATGCACTTCCATTTGTGAACCATTTGCGGCCCCATAGCAGCAGCTGATGTCTAATGCAATCCTGCAGCATGAAGCTCAAACCAAGGATCCAAGCAGCAACAGTTCAGCTGTGCTTGTAAACCAGTAAAACCAGCAGCTCAGTGATGCAACAGCACACACAAGCCACACACTGCCACAGCTTGCTGAGATTTGCAGCACAACCCCAGGATCCCCACACAGGATCAGCCCACGTTGGATTTATCCTTATGCTTCTACTTGTGACCGTGCAAATTGCAGGTAGAGCTGCAGGGCTTACTCTGGATTTCCTAGTGGGTGTATATGAGAAACAGCATGAAGCCCTTTTCATCTCTGCTTTGGTATAGGACAGGTCTGCCTTGCAGGAGCCAGGAGTTGGACTCAGTGATCCTTATGGGTCCCTCCCAACTTAGGAGTCTCCTCTTAGCACCACTACAAGGAAAAAAATACTAAGAATTCGTATCTATCAGTGCAAACTTGCCTTCCAGGAGGGAGTTTAAACAACTCCCTGCCTCTACAGAGATGGAGGTACTATTTATCTCTGTATTTGTAAGTAAATCCCATTCTCCCCATCTCACCCCCTGCCATCCTAACTGCTCTAAAAGTGTCTAAATGCTGAGGTGAGGTCATTTAACAGCAAGATGACACCTTTTTTCCTTGCTGCTCTTGCCAAAGGACAAGAACAGGTCTGTGCTCCTGAGCAGAGCCATGTATCAGATTCATTCCAGGTGTTGGACATCTGCTGCTCGCTCTGCAGCTGCCTCTGCTAAGACATAAGAAACAGCAGCAATCTTCCCAAGGAACAGCTTGAAACAAACCCTCAGTACCAACCGACCTTAAACAGAAGCAACTGACAAGCTCTGGGGTTTCTGGAAGATGAGTACAACTTCACTCTGGCACGGCATCCTCCCCCTGCCCTCCCTCAATCCAGAGCTGCTTTTTTAGCAAGTTCTACCCATCACACTTCGCTTTTCCATGCAGCATCAGAGCAGCATCCTCAGCCTTTGGTCGAGGCACTGATGCTGCTGACACTGTCCTGTTGGGGACCACACCTCCAGCTGCACTCTATGACTTGTCTGATGGATGCAGTTGGAGAAAGCAACAAAAGTAGAAGAGATTATTAACATAAGAAAGAAAATAGGAAAAAAAATGATGCATACATTGCCAGGTTTTGCATCCGAGATCAGAAAGTGGAATAGGGTCCAAGTTTGCAAAGAGAGGAGGAAACCAAAGGAAAACACCACTTTTTTTGTTGTTTTGGTGGTTGTTTTTTTTTCTCCCCAACACAACACTATGTTTTAAATAACCAAATGGTTTCTGAAAGTAAAACAGCACGGGGACTCATAACTCAGCTGCATGGTGACAGCTTTCCCACAAGCACCGCAGCAGCGCCTCCAACACAGCAGAAATACCTTTGAGTGCCTCAAAAAACATACATAACCTGCAAATACAATCCAGCCCCTACCTACCGCACTTCTCCTGGCGAGAGGGGAACAATATATCCTCTCAGGTAGCACGTGGAGACAGAGCCCCAGCACTTGTTCCTATTACAGCCATCAGGGCCCTCCTGATGGGGGACTGTTACGAGGCCATGGGGAGAGCTGCCATACAAAGACCTGAAGTTAAAGGAACGCTTATGAAAGAAGCTCAGGATAATCAGCTGAGATGAAGCTCTTCCCTTTCAGAGACTGCACGTCTCTCCCTGGTAGTTCAGCAGTTTACTTATGTCTGTGATGAACCCAAACAATGAAACCCTACACTGCGTTACGCAGCGCTTCCTGAGCACGACTGCTGCTGATTTCCTGAGCAGCAGCCCACGAAGCCACAGGAAGCCCCAAAGGGACAGACCTGTGCTCCCCACCAGGAGCAGGGCTCGCACAGAGCCTTTCAGATAAAAAGAGAGTCATCATTACAGTCATCTCCCACCACAAATCATTGCCTTAATGGCTCAGGGCAGAAGAAGAGCGTTTGTATGCTGCTCTTCTCACCATTTCCAAATGCCACCGAGCAATAAAACACAAGGAGGAAATCAGCAGTGCCCTGTGCTCTTTGCTATGGGTCTCACTTTCCCCTCTGCACTTACTGGCAATCTGTTTCGATAAGCAGCGGGGCTGGGGCCCATATCTTGATCTGAACATCCAGGAAGGATTTGTGCATCACATCCCCTCCTGATGCTGAGGCTGTTTCCCCACATCTCCTGCTCGTTGAGATGCTGCTTTTGGAAGCTTTATGCCAAATTGTATTTTCTTAGGCTGATAAAGAGATAAAAGCAAAGGCTAATCCCATGATTCAGAACCCAGCGTTTGCCCCAGGACTCTTTACAAGGGTAGATAATGGTAGAATAAGGGGGAATGGTTTTAAACACCTCCAAGGATGGAGCACCCACAGCATCTCTGAGCAACCTGTTCCAGCACCTCACCACTATCAGTAAAAATCTTCCTCCTGACATCTAATCTAAGTCTCCCCTTCTTTAGTTTAAGGTCAGGTTGGATGGGGCCCTGGGCAGCCTCATCTAATACTTGGATCTAGTGGTTGGTGGCCCTGCCTGTGACAGGGAGTCGGAACTTGATAGCCCTTGGGGTCCCTTCCAACACAAGCCATTCTATGGTTCTGACTCCAAAGGCTGCTCCTTCTCTAACAAGTCACCAGAGCTGCACAGGATCTCCATGAAGCCAGAGGTCCCCTGGGGTGGCCATAGCAGCATCCTCCCCCACTGCTCAAGGGCCAGAAAGTTTACCAAGGACTTCACACACTTATCAGCTTCCATGACACTGGTTTTAAAACTCATTCAAGACAGACCTAGGGTTGGATCATACAAAAATATATCATTTCTAAGGTTGTATCTGCAGACCATTGGGAATAAATAAAAGCCTGCCTTAACACCTGAATACTTCAGATTCACAGTCCTGCTAACTTCACTCTTTCCATCCAAGGTCACTACCTGGCAATGTCTCAGAAGCCACACCAGCCCTCTGCACCCACACCAAAAGGTTCCTCCCCAGCACTACAAGGCACCCCTGGACACACCTCTTCTCCTTTAGATACACCACAGCCCTATTTCCAAAGGCTTCCATCTTCTGCATCCCGTTTGTTTCAATTATTCAGGACAACCCAGGCTGATAATTACACAGTCCCGTGTTGCTGAGTAAAACTGATGCATAATTAGCCAGCAGGAAAGATCGATTAAGATACAGCAGGGCATCTTGCAAAGTTCTTCAGTGGGACTGCAGGGAATAGGAGCTGGCTGTGCCCTTCCAAAGGATAAAATTCTCTGCATCTCAGGGACTTGACAGCAGTTTTATTTAAACGGGATGCTTCCATCAGTCAGCCAGCCCGAGTTTTATTGTCAGGTCTTAACTTCAAATGACACAACTCATATCTTTTAACTAGAGCACAAACACCAAGCTATACATCACATTTCCAGCCAGAAATATAATGCAGCTGAGGCTCCAAGTTGCACTTAAGCCTCCAGCAACATGTTTTCTATTTTATGTCCCTTGATTTTCCCATAGCACCACAGCACAACCTTTGTCTGCTTTGCTCTCGAATCCAAATGACGCTGCTCCCATTCTCATTGCAGATTTGAACAAGGCTGAGGTCAGCAGATTTGGGAGCACAGTTCAGAGATTTAACTTTGGAAGTCATCTTCTCTCCTTTTGCAATGGGGGTTTGGGCTCAGGAGCCACACATGGAATGGATGCTTTCAGCAGCAAGCCAGCAGTGTGAGCCTTTGCTCACTGTATTGATTTATCCACATATCTCAGCATCAAGTAATGGATTTTCCCCTTCCATACGCAAAATCCTCAATAGCACCACAGTGGAGGAAGAAGAGCATCAGATTCATATGCAAAGAGCTGTACAGATGCTGCCCAAGTCACGTTTTCTGCCTTAAGGAACAACAGATTCCAAAGGCAGGCAACGATAACTCTGCAGACAACCAAATATAACCAGCTGATGTAAATAGAAGGACACAGCATACTCTCAATTATACCAACTTCTAAATGCCCATTATCTCTCAAACCATGGGCCAATTATCCTCTTTCCTGAATACAGCATGCAATATGCAAAAAAAAAAAAAAAAAAAAACCCCAAATTATGAGAGTTCATTAGAAGACAGACATAGACAACACATACCTGGCTTTGGCTTGCTGGAAGCCATAGAGAATTGTGTTCCTCTGCTCCCTTGCTCTAGGGCTCAAGTTTTCGTTCTGCAGTCCATCCACCAGGAAGCACTCAGCATCTGAGTAAAGGGAAAGAAACAAGTTAAAGCCAATGGGCAGCTGAAGGTACCAGTCCTTGGTGGAGAACAGCATCAGCATCTCAAGGATCAGAAAGCCCTGGTGCAGATTTGAGGAAGACAGCCTGTCAGCCCACCACGAGACACTGGGACTCACGGCTTCCAGTGGGTCTGTCCCCTGCTGACAGCCAGCAATAAAAGAGTTGGCTCTTTTGGCAAGGTCAGAAGCCTTGCTTGAACACCACTCTTCTGCCACATGCATTCTCTTCACTCATTAACCACTGCCTTACACTGTTGTGGGCAGCACCCAACACCTCCCATATACCTCTCTGCTTCCCCAAACCCTAAAAATGTGCTGCTATGAAAGCCTTAAGGGCTGCCATTCAGAGAAGTATCCAAAACGCTTCTAATGCAGTGGATGCCTGACACCCAGCACTTCAAGAAAATCCCAGCTGGTGGCTTTCACTAGGAGAACCTTCCTAAGGAGCAGGCATTGAACACCAGGTTGTTGTGCTCTCACCCACATACAGATATATCACACCACGTGCTTTGCTAATGCTCAGATACACTGTGCTTGCCCAACAGAACAGCTTGGCAGAAGTAAATATGGTACTCTCTCACTTGGAAAGCACAGCTACACATAGAAATCTAACCTAAACTGAAAGGCAAAGAGACAACAGGTAGATTAAGTGCCTTCTATTTGGATGAATATTTATACTCCTTACAGAAGCCTCTTAGAAAAACAAAACACTTCCAACCACACCTGCTCTGTAAATGAAAGCATCATCACCCCTGTATTCCAGCAGCTTTACTGCTGCTTTCCTCTAGCAAAGATTGGCTTCAAAGCTGTGGTGCTGTACACCCCCAGCCCTCTCCAACCTTTAATTCATGCCCCATACTGTGACACTAATGTCAGTTTAATATCCTGCTTGCAAGACTTGCAGCTCCTTATGCTTCAGCTGCCGGAACGGCAGCCAGCACTGCTCAGCACGCCCCAGGAACCTTTACAGCTCCTTAACAAAACAGTTCCTCTACCTGCAAGCACAGAAGATCAAAGTGCCACAGGAGAAATGAATATCTTGCCCTGCTAAAGTCGTGAGCTCTTATTTTCACCACCTGCCTGTGACAAATGTAAGAAAGGCTGAGAGCTGGAGGGAAAAGAGAGAAACATCTCTCTGAAGTGAAGGACAGAAGCAAGCTGTGTGCTCAGGGAGTGGGGCAGATGTGCATCCCCACAAACAGGGCTCCCTTCCCACTTTGTCTTTGCAGTGATGAAGAGGAACAGAGAGACGCAGCGCTGGGCACGGCAGCAAGGGGAAGGAGGAGCAAAGCCAGATCATGACAGTGCTTTCTGCAACCCCTCTGCTCTCATTTCTGGGATTGTTCAGCTGAAAGCATCACTTCCCATTGGAGCACTCAGCGAAAAGCCCACTTTAGCCAAATTCAGACTAGTCCAGGTCACTGTCAGCTCTCTCCTAACAGTGATGCTCTCAGCACATGGGAAGCAGAGATGAACCACCTGTGCCTCGTTGCCTGCAGCCCCACACTACAGCCACCACCTGTGGCCGAGAAACAGAGCCTGAAGCACAAAGACAGCACTGAGGACATCCAAGTGCCCTAATGCATCCCCTCTGATGACAGCACATAGCTGGCACATCTCTGCTGAAGGGTAGGAACACAAATTCACAGTGCTGCCCTAAACACACACCTACATCCAGCAGCAGTCTCAGCAGCTGCAGGAGCACAGAGGCATCAGGTCAGAACATCCTGGCTCTGCCTGGTATCCCACTGAGGCTCTGCTGGATCTTTTGCTTCATTTAAATTTCATTTTCAGCACATCTCCACACTTTTTTTAATTCCCCCTCCAGGATACAGCACCAACTTATGGCAAACCAACAGTGCTAAACTTGCACTGCTTACAAATAACATAAGAAATAACCAAGGACACGTATCTAGGCACAAAAACATGCCTTGCTCTGAGAAGCTTACTATAAGAATAGATGAAGGCTGAGGGGACAGTTTATTATGGACAAATCTGCTTTAAGACAGCACTATAGAGATCAGTCAGCAAGAGAAACCCTTGCAGGCTGCAACAAGAGCAAATGAGAGCTGCAAACTGGACCAACATCAGCTGTTCTTCTGCCCTTTTAAAGCACAAAGCAGCTCCACAAGTATGCCATCAGCTGCAATATGGTATTTACTTGCTGCCATGTCAGCACAGATCAGCTGCTGGATAAGTTATAGCAGAGCTGTGGTCCCTCCTGCAAAGCAGGCAGAGCCCTTTCAGAGCCAGCCACGATGTTTATAGCACCAGGAAATGAAAAAGAAAGCCTAACCATAAACTCTCCAAGTGGATCAGGAAGAGCAATATGTAAGCAGCTCCGGAGTAAATCACCCCAATGTTAGTTTTACTGCTTGTCAGTAACGTTATATTCTTGATGTTTATAGATTGCTCTCTGTGATCCACTCCGAAAGTTTACAGGACTCTCCCTTTCATTTCCTGCAGCTTCCAAAGGTAAGAGAGGGGAAAAAAAATAAAACAGTTGAGATTTCATCAAGTGCTTCAGGAGAGTTTCTAGAGGCAATTGCAGGCATCCACTTTAATCCCACACGCAGTGCACAGCATTGTAAGAATTATGTCACAGCCACCCGAGTCCGGGGAGTAAATAACCCTTTAATGGCAGCACTAAATCTTTGAGTTAATCATCACTCAATGAGCAGAGCTGAAAGGTATGTAGAGGCCGTGTACGTCTCTCCCATGCCCACAGCCAAACACTTGTTGCTCTTTTCTACTCATCTGCCATCAGAAAGCCAACTCAGAACCTCAACACCAAAGCAATGGAAGCCAGTGCTGAGCTAGCTGCTCTGCTCTGTCACTGCTTGCTGCTTCACACAGTCCTTCCTGCAGTTTCCCATCCTATCAACAGAGTGCAGACACCTCAAGCATCCGTGAGACTGCATTAATGTTTCCAGGATGCTAACAAGACAGCTGGGGGGTCAGAATGCTGCACCAGCACTGCCTGGAACCCAACAGCCCCACAGAACACAGCACTTGTTTGTTTATTTTTAAAGCAGCACTAAGGCTGCTCACCTTGAAGGCAGCAGCTCCTGGCTCTGCTATGCTTTGCAGATGCAGTCGCACTCCCACGGGGCAGCATCTCTTCTGTCCTCTCTGCTGCCCAAACTCTGCTAGAGAAGGGCCCTTCAGACCCCCCCCCTCTGGGATGAAGAGGTTGGGCAGGGCAGAGGAAAACACAGTCAGGCTGCCTTTAGCTTCTATAAAAACAGAGCAGAAGCCCTGGATTTGTCAGATACACCACATTTTTAAGAACCTCTGTTTCAGCCTTTAGAAGGAATCTGTGCAAAACAAAGAGAAATACCCTGAGCTTCCCTTTGTCTGAAGCAGGACTGAAACCTTGTGCAATTAATGACAACTTGAGCTGCTTATTTGTGATGTGGAACCGAGTAATAAAACTGCTGCAACCACATCTATTCATAAACATAAGGCAATCAGCATTCAGAAGCACTGCAGCACTGCAATGTAGAGAAGATAGCCATGGTATATCAGCTTTCAACCACTGCAACCTCAGAGATGGCTTCTGTGATAACAGCAGGGCTGTTGGGAGCCAGTCATTGGCTACTGGCCTTTTGGGCACCTTACATACAGCCCTCCACTATGGAACAAAGCTTAATATAAGGAAGCAGGCATTATAGCCCATGCACCAGTATGCACTGGCTCTTCAAGTTGTAATTTTTACTTTAAACACAAGAATTCTTATTGTAATGCAGTTTGAAAACCTGATGAGCTTAAGCTCCTTTGGTTCCTGCATAGCAAGAAACCTTCCCAGCCCCTGGAAGGCCTCGAGACTGTACAGATTGTTAAGACACAGCAAGTTTGATACAGAGGTATGTGACATGCAATTAATCTCCATTCATAGCCTGCTCTACTTGTCAGCAAACAAAGGCTGTGCTTTAGAAGGAGATCTGAAGCCTTCAATTAAAAACAGTCAGCTAACAAGAAAATAATCTAAGTTAAAGGAAGGTGGCAGGTGCAGAAATGAGTTGTTTACAGAAGCGTCAGCAGCGAACAATAAAGCGCTGCACATCAAAAACGGGAAAGGGCGAACTTCACCAAAGCCCCCACGATTAAAAAGCAGAGGGGAGAATTCACACCTACATCTGGGGGAAGAGACAGTGCATTTGGGAAGGAGCTTCGATGGGCTGAGAGGCTGTGTGCTCTGACTGCTGGGACTGGAAGGAACTCAGAGTTGGGGTGACTTCAGGGAGACCTCATAGTGGCCTTCCAGTACTTGAAGGGAGCATACAGACAGGAGGGGCAATGGCTGCTCACAAGTGAAAGGACAAGGAGGAATGGCTTTAAACTGAGACAGGGGAGGTTGAGGTTGGATATTAGGAGGAAGTTTTTCACCCAGAGGGTGGTGATGCACTGGAACAGGTTGCCCAAGGAGGCTGTGGATGCCCCATCCCTGGTGCCATTCAAGGCCAGGCTGGATGTGGCTCTGGGCAGCCTGGGCTGCTGGTTGGTGACCCTGCACATAGCAGGGGTTGGAACTAGAACATCATTATGATGCTTTTCAACCCAGGCCATTCTATGATACGATGGACTGGTGCTGTCAGGAGATGAGCAACAGGAAACCAAAGGTCACGAAACCTCGAGACAGAGCAGGTCAGACTCAAACACAACAACTCAGAGCATGGAGCAGCAGAATGCAAACAACTCCTTCCCATCACCCTGCCTGCACCTACAGCAGCAGGACGTGCCAGCAACATGCACACATGCAGCAATGGGCCAAGGCTGCTGCTTCAGCCTGCAGTGCTGCTGCTCAGGCTTTACATACAGGGAGGTCAGCAAGAGTCAGCAGGGCAGGGGGAAGTCAGCATGCGAGCAGAGGTGACTGCAAAAGAAAAGGCAATGCTAGAGAGAAAAAACCACCAACCCTGAGTATGGGTTCCCCTGTTTGCATAAATTTGCTGCAGAAAGAAACAGTCACCAGTTTTTTTTCACCCCTGTGCAGAATTAATTCTTGGTTGCAAAGCACGGTTGGCAGATGAGGTGAGCCCAGTTTCTGCAGTGCTGACCCATTGCTTCAGTGGGAAGGGGTCAGGTTTACAGAAAAATCAGGAAAACTTGCAGAACTGCCCAGAAGCTCCATTTCCTGCCTACAGGAAAGCAATGCTGCCACCATCACAGCTTCTTCCCTTGGATGTGAGGCCTCAGGAGGTCACCTTCACTTCAGCAAGCAGAAGCAAAGCTTGAAGCTGACACTGCTTTCTCAGTCTATCTCCATTTTTGAGCAGGGTTGAATCTCTCCTGTACCCTCACCACAACCAGCTTGCTCTGCACATCCCCAAGGATGCATACAGCACTGCACAACATCCAGAACCAGGACGTAGCACTACCACAGCTGCAGCAAAAGCCTGGGGGGAAGGAGCAGGGGGGGAAGGGAGGGTGTCTCATTGCAGCACACAAGTTTATTCTACCCTGTGCGCCTGCCCCTTCGGCTCACCCCAGCAAAGCACACACAGTGCTTTAACAGAAGGCACGTGGTGGGGACATCACACCAGAAAACACCCCTCAACCTCACCCATGCTCTCCTCCTCTACAAACACAGCTTCTGGAACCACCAGAGAGCTGCTCCTCTCTTAACACAGGCACAGACCCACCTGCCAACTCCTGGTATTCTGACAACACTGAGCACCAGGACAAGCAGCCACATCCCCTATGCTTCTCTCATCAGAATTAGCGATATGAAAGGCACACACACAACCTGAGGACCACAAAGCCATCCATCAGCTGTAGAGGAAAAGTAACTCCTGTAGACCTCCCACTCCCCTCTCTAGATCAACACAATGAGATGCTAAAGGCCTTTCAGGCTCTTTCTCTGCAACGACTGCAGGGGATTTGCTGTTAAACAAGAGAGCAGCAAGGAGGAATTGGTGGTTACCTTCAAGGAGTCTTTGAATGTCCTCTGGGATCATGGCCCTGCCACCTCCTTTCCACCAGTCAAAACTGATGGTGCTGCTCCGGTCCCTCAGCTGCAGGGACAGAACGAGAAAGGAAGCAGAGGGGGTGGGGACGCCCCAAAGAAGGTGGAAGGAACCGCAGAGCTCTGCTCAAACGCCTCCTCCTCCTCTTTCAGCCTCACGAGATGCAGTCAAGGTGCTGAGCTCCTCCATCCGTGCTCCGCACAGGTCGAGCTCCACTCAACTAACTGCAAAAAGCCCAACCCCACCCCCCAGCAACAACACAGCTGATAGCGAGCTCCCTCCATTAGCATTTTAATCAGGTGGCAGTTAGGCGAGCATCTCCTTCATTAGCGCACAATTCAGCGCACCTGCTGGCACAGCAGAGCCAGAGCTGTACGGCCTTTGCTTTAACCCCCCTGTGCCGAACCCCCAGCACAACAGGAGATGAGGGTTGGGTCTGTTCCAAACAGAGGCAGACCCCCTTCCCCTAATGCCCAGGAGGAGAAGCAGCGCTTGCCTGTTTTGCAATTAAACATCCCCACTTCCTACATCCTGCGTAGGAAGGGGATAGAGAGTAATAGCCGCTCATATTTCAATCTTGCCCGGAGAAACAGGAGGGTTGTGCACTTTAACTTGCTTTTGACAGTCAATAAGTGCAAACTGCACTCTGCAAAACAGAAGTGGCATTGCATTAGATTAACCTGCAGTCCCACATCCGCTCCTCTGCTACACAAATGAATTAATGCAGGCCGGCTATGGGGATATACTGCTAATATTTTCCATCCTCGTATTCCCAAATTTTGAACCCAAGTGCAGCCTTCTTTATCTGAAGCTCACCAGCAAGAAAACCGCTCAAATGATTGCAGAGTTCTTTTAGGTTGGGACAGCACCTCTATGAATAACAGCAGTGAGAATGGATGGCATTGGGGGAGAGGTGAAGGTGCTGTGACCAGAGGCATGTCCAATGCCACTCCAGACCACACAAGTTTCCTATTCTGTGTACAAAATTCACTTGATTTTCATCCTTTCCCTTTTACTTTGGGTGCTGCTATGTGAGCTTGCACACACTGACAGCAGTTTCGCAGCACATCCTTGCTTTTGGGATGCTGCGTGCAAGAAATTGCTCTGCAGCGGGACTGGATGCAGCATGGAAAACATTGCTGCCATTCAGAGGGCCTTGCACAGGAGATTGGCTTGCTGGAATGCATCTCCATCACAGACAGGAGTCTTTGCCATTACATCTGCTAGTCAAGCAGGGTTTCATGAGGCAGGATTGGGAAAAGTGAGAGTCTCCAGTGGGAGCAAAATGTGAATTTCTCTTAGCTGCCCACGGCTCCTGGCAGCCGTGAACTGCTGTGATCATATGCAAGGAATGGTAATGCATGCAGGTGGGTGTACAGTAGATGGATTTGCATGCTTGTTCTCACCTGGAGGTGTTTAGGGATAAATATTTAAATGTTTCTCCATAGAAATCCTCCTCAGTTCATTACAGACTGCAAATAAACAGCAGCTGCTTGCTGCGAGCGACTAACTTTAAAAACGAGTTTATAAAGGGATGAGCTGGGTCCCGTAGATGGAAGAAACTGCCTTCAGATATGCCAGAAAGATCAATGAAACCTGATCGATGCAAATCTCAGAAGGAAAAACATTCCTGCAACTGCAAAGAAAAGGATCATCTCACGGGTTTTCTGCATATCTGTAGCTCTGAAAGCGTGGTGCAAAGAGTGAATTAGACAGCCAGTGAGCCTTGCCCAAGAGATAAACCACTTTATCATATTTAGGGGATGGGGGAAGTTCTTCCTCATGTCAAACGAGCAGCGGGTTGCTTTGCAGGTGTTGTGGTGGGGCTTCGCCTTCCTTTGCTGCCTGGGTTGTGATCACTGCATGAAAGCGTGTGGGGATTTCACCCACCACATTTCCTGTTGCAGCGTTTACCTCAGCAGCAAAGCTTTAGCTCTGTTCTGCTCAAACGCATTGCTCCGGTGATTTTTGGTCTTTCGCTGCAGATCTTGAGGTTATCATAGAGCTCTGAGTGTAGTGTGGAGATGTCCTGGGTGGTCTTGGATTGCACATCCATCCCACGGCCTGGAGACAGAGCTCAGCACCTCGGATGTCCCCCTCAGGCCCTATCTGAAGATTTTGTTAAGACAATACTGACCATGCAGCAGATGTTGCTAAAATTGAATCCATTTTACCATGGAGTCTCAGCTGCCACGCAGATGTACGTGCTGTTACTCACAGCCTTCACACCATGCACAAGCACAGCCAACACTGCTGTTCAACCTCACCCCTCTGCAGACAGAGCCAGGCAGTGAGTCCCCAATAAATGACCTTTTTCTTTCCCTTGCCACTTTTCTTTGTGGATAGGCTACAAATTCTGTTCGGTGGTCAGCTGGGAAGGAGATGAGGGGGTCTGGCAGTGGCTGGCAGCTATCCCTGCATCACTGCTCTGTAGCATCACGCTTTGCGGGCTGTGGGTGTAAAGCTGCCTCACTGCATGATGAAAGCTCCACCTGCATCATTTTCGGCCTGAAGTTCAGCAGACAGGGCTCTCTCCTAATGGTATTCTGTTAAATGGACAAATTCCTTTCAAGGCTTGTCTTGCTTTGAAATCCAGTTTCTCAGGAAGCCAGATGTTTTTGCGTGTAGCTATGGAAACAGAGCAGGGAGGAGCTGAGCAATGCAGGTAAAATGGGAGAGTGGGAAATATGGAAGGATCTGGAGGGGTTGGCAGGAGCTGTGTCCCTGCAATGGGCTGCTGGGCGCAGTGCAGTGCCTGTCAGTGCAGGTGAGCAGCCAGCTGGTGTGTCACAGGACCTGGAGAGGAGCTGGATGCACACAGCCAGGAGATGCGGGCTCCTCGGTTTCCATCTGCCCCTTTTCTGCTCTTCCAGCACATCACCATTCTCTCAGCCTTCCCCTCTGCCATTCGGAAAGGTTAACGACAGAAGGGTAACAAGGTTAAACCGCAAAGCCTCGCCTGATAACAGCCCTTTCAAGCAGCTGCGCTGAAATTAATCTGAAACTTTTAGTAATTAGATAAGATAAGGATGTGTGCATGCTCACGCAGGCACACGCTGACCCTGGGACGCCCATTCTACAGGGGGGGGTGGAGGATCACAGGCTTCATTAAACGGGATCAGGTCATTTATTCACCTCTTCTGGCACTGCAGCACTGGAGATACATTTCCAGCCTCTTTATTCATCCTGCTGGCTCTCCGTGGGTAGTACACTCACTTGCCCTTTTGTCCTCCCTTTCCGGTGCTGTGGCTGCTGCCAATTCAGAGCAGACTCTCATTCTTGCTCTTTCAGAACAGATGCCAGTCCATCTATTTCTGTATCACAGCTCCTGCCATTGCAGGTCAAATTGTTGGACCACTGGGTGTCATTTGCTGCCTCTGACAGTGACCAACAGCTCAGTAAAAATAAAAAGGGAATCTTTCCAATCTGGTCATTCACCTGACTGCTTGAATAATTTCTCCTGGTTTACTAATCAGCTGTGCCATGCTAATGCTCTGCTGTAATCCCAGAGTTTACATGCTTACGTCGGTTTCATTGCCCAACAGCTCGTGTATCTTCCTTCTCGTGTGACTAAGTCATTCAGTTAAAGGTTGGTTACAACCCTCATAAATCATCTCTCCTTTCTGAAGGCTAAGTGGTCTTCCCATGTCCACACTATTTGGCTCTGCACCTCTGCTTCACGAGGGCTTGCAGGTGACCGTTCATCAGTTTCTGAAGCCAATGAGAAACAAAAATATGTCAGCAGCTGCAGCTCTCTCTGACTTATGGCAAACTGATCTGGTTCCAGTGCAAATCTAAATTACCGGACCTTGCTGCTGGCATAGACTGCCAGATTCTGGATTCACTTACCTCCTAGACGTGCTGTATTTTCTGTGTTGTGAAGGCTTCTTGGAAGCAAGCAGATGTGTTGAGATGTATACATTAGAATGTATAGAGCGTAATCGTTTCTGGTAACAGCAGTGCATTTCAATAGGACCCCACTGGCATGTTCCTCCTGTGCCTCTGCGGTGGAGGTGACACGTGGCAAGGATGTGCAAGGACTCCTTTCCTGGGTGTGCCCAGGATGGTTGGGGTGGAGGTGGTCCGAAGGCATCTCCCAACATCTGTGTTCTGATGCTACAGCCAGGTGTGGGGAACGGGTTGCACTGCTTAAATCCCAAGGAGCCTTTTGTGGCCCCTTGGAAAAGCTCATCAGCATCGGGAAAAGGACAGTCTGTGAAGGGGAGGATGAGAAAGATAGGAAGGGAGAAAAGAGCACTGAGCTGAGCTCTCTTGGAGGCTGCTGCTCCTCGGGCTGACGGATGGGTTTCAGTTTAATGCAAAGGTGATATTGATCCCTTGCTGTTTGGTTACAATGTGTGATGGAGCTGCCCTCTGCCCTGTAGATGTGTTGCAGCACCTTTTCTCTTTCTCCCAACCCTCATCAAACTACTTTAATGACTCTTTTATTGACAACACCAAGTCTTAATGAGGAGGACTGCCACACACTTCATTAAGGCTGCAGAGGGGACGCTTCCTACAAGCAGCCAGCACCAAGGACTGCCAGCAGGGCTGAGGGAAGGGGATGGAGTTAAGGGAGGGTATAAAATTCTCCAGAGGAGGGAGAACTCCCTGTCTGCTCCAGAGAGAAAACAAAGATTTAGGACAAAAGCCCACGTTACCTGAGAAGCAGTGGGTTGAGAAGGAGAGATCTGTCCTGGGGAAAGGTCCAGGTGGACATAGGGGTTGTAATGTTAGAGCTCTGTGAGCATTTCCATTTGGGGCGAAGATGAGATATGATAAAATGTTGGGTGGCTTGTGGCTAAAATGAACCTGGATGCTATTTCTCAGTTTAATGGTAACACTGCCATGCAAGGTGGTGGTGGCAGCGTGTGTCAGGCATGCTGAGCAGCAATACAGACAGCAACAGAGCTCTGGCTTGTAGTCTGCCAACCAGTGGTACATAGCTGGGTCACCAGCACTGAGATCCGGGCTGTCAGCTCAGAAAAACCAGCTCAGAAATATCTGTGTAAGCATCAGCCACACCATTGCACTTCAGGGTCTTGAGATGGACTGTGAGACTTCAGATTAAAACTGGTCCATCTGTTCTGTGATGTTTTCTTCATTCTGGGAAGAAGAAGAAGAAAAAAAAAAAGAATCTTTTGCCTTAAAGCAGCACAAAAGGCAGACTTGGATTTGAGGCTCTGGATTGAAAATACACTCAGATATGATGTTCTAATGTAGTCG